GTCGGAGCGCCAACGATAAGACCGGTTTCCAGTGCTTCCCCCCCCGATGTACCAGAGGGGGCACCCCGAAAGGGGTAGGGGTTAGCCGCGTCCATTGCCCTGCAGTTTAGGAGGCACGAGAAGAGGACAGAGAGTAGGACAATACGGGAGATAGAACACCTAGAACTTAAACTCCTGATCCTCCCTCCTGAGTCCCTGAACGCGTTGTCCAGCGAGATGCCGCGAGGAGGCATGTGCACCTTCTCGCCTGGAGGCGTCTCTTACACTGCTGTTTGGGCATGTGTGAGACTCTCTTAGAGACCTCTGGGGCAGTCTCGAGGTGTTTTTGCAAGCCACTTGGTCAGGTTTGGATCGTCGGGAAGCGGACGAGGCCAGAAAGCCTAAGTCGTTCCGAAACGCATAGGAAATCAATGAATGTTGCCTCATGGGGGCCGTCTTGGGAGTGATCCTGGATGCTTCGGGGGCGTCTTGCACGCCGCTCGACCCGTCTGGAAGCCGTGAAAGTGTCCTTGGACAGATCGTTCGGCGATTCGGGGCACTCTTGGACCTTCTTGGGGGCCTCTCAGGGCACTCTTGGCGCGTCTTGGCGCTTTTGGGGGCTCTGGGACGCCCAGAGGCGGATGCGTTTCTGACCCCCCCTGTGGGGACCCCCCCGGGACCCCCCGGGCCCCCCCCCCTCGGCGGGGGAGGGATCAAAGGGAAGGGGCTTCTTTTCGACTGAAGTACGACGTTGCTACGGTTTTCTCTCGCTGGCAGGCTTGAAGAGGAGAGTGCACGGAAGGGGGACGACGGAGACGCAGGGAAAGAGGACAACCGAGGCGTCCACTGAGCGGAGGGCACCCTGCTGGAGACTCTTGGGGCTCCGGCGGTGGCCTCCTGGGGGTCTCGTTGAGATTTCTTGGGGACTCCTTCGGGCTTCGGGACCGCGCGCCGGAGGGAAACGTATCTGGTTGGCAAGGCCTCCCCCCCGCGGGGATCCCCTGGGACCCTCCCCGGGACCCCTCCCCCCGCGGGGAAGTGATCAAAGGGAAGGGGCTTCCCTTCGACTCCACTCCGACGTCGTTGCTCCATTTCGCTTTGGATGGCACGCTTGAGGAGGAGGGCCCAGAGAAATGGAACGGAGGACGACGGAGACGACGACTCCAATGGAAAAGCCCGACTCGAACGGGGAAGCCATTCGCACACGCCGACGAGGTCCACGCCACCCTCCATATTTGCTTGGGAAGGAAGACGTGTGGATCCGATTTCTCCCTCGCCGTTGTTGTCGCGCTCTCCTCTTTTCATCCGCCTTCCCCTTGCTCATCTTTCTCCTACTGCTGATCCTCCTTTGTCGCACTTGCTCTCTTCCTCCTGACCATCCGCCACATCATTCCCCTCCCCCACTGTACACAGCTCCCCTGTATGACTGCACATCACACGATGGGGTCACTTGGGGGATCCATGTCCGCTGGGACACCCGTCGGCGGATAAAACATGACTTACCCTGTGATGTACCCAACAATTTGCATCAAGCGGCAAGAGGATCTGGCCCAAACTTGCCAGGACAATGACAGTGCAGGCGCCGTTATATGTTGTGCAAACGACCTGGGGATACGTTCACGTGGCACGATTCACAGGACAACAACAGAAGGACGAGGAACGAGGGCCCAGGCTTGAGGAGGACATGGGGGAGGGAACGACGGGCAGGAAAAGGACGCGCGGGGGCCTGAACCGCCAGCGCGGCAGCAGCAGAGGGAAGGTGGCAGGGGACAGAGGACGACGACGAAAGTGACGAGAGGAGACCGAAGAGTGGTGCTTTCGTCGGTAGTACGCGAAAGCTGTAACGATGCCTGGCCGCGGCGCTCGTACAAATGGTAAGCCCTGCTTATAGTTAGTGCAAGAAGCGAGCCTGCTTTGTTCCCTCCTTCTTGACGACCCCGAACAACAAAGGCGCCTTTCTGCGGGACCCCAAGGGATGGCGAGGTCTCCTGGTTATCCGCGTAGGACGTCACTCCGCTGCACCCCCCAGAAGCCCTCGAAAATGACGATCGTTTCGCAGATCGCAGCCCCCCAGGGATGGCGAGGTCCCCTGATGGCCCGCGTAGGACGTCACTCCGCTGCACCCCCCAGCAGCCTTCGGAACGGGCGACAGTTTTGCAGATCGCAGCCCCGCAGGGATGGCGAGGTCTCCTGGTGATCCGCGTAAGACGTCACCCCGCTGCGCTCCCGAGCAGCCCTCGAAAGTGCCGTCAATTTCGCTGATCGCAGTCCCCCAGGGATGACGAGGTTTCCATGTGGTCCGCGTAGGACGTCACTCCGCTGCGCCCCCAGGAGCTTTCGAAAATGGCGACCGTCTCCCAGAAACAGCCCCCTGGCGGATGGAGAGGTCTCCTGGTGATCCGCGTAAGACGTCAGGTGCCCTCTCCCACACAGCAGCCTTCGAAAGTGGCGACAGTTCCGCAGATCGCAGGCCCTCAGGGATGGCGAGGTCTCGCTGTGGTCCGCATGGGACGTCATTCCGCCGACCTCCAGCAGCCCTCGGAACTGGCGACAGGTTGCAGGTCGCAGCCCCCCTAGGGATGGCGAGGTCTCGTGGCGGTTCGCGTCGGACGTCATTCCGCTGCACCCCCGAGCAGTCCTCGAAAGTGCCGGCGGCATCATCGCAGATTGCAGCCCCCTGTGGATGGCGAGGCCTCCTGGTGGTCCGCGTGGGGCGTCACCCCGCTGCACCCCCCAGCAGCCTTCGAAATTGGCGACAGGCTCGCAGATCGCAGCCCTCCTGGGGGTTGGCGAGGTCTCCTGGTTATCCGCGTAGGACGCCACTCCCCTGCATCCCCCACTAGCCTTCGAAAGCGGCGATACTTTCGCAGATCGCAGCACCCCAGGGGATGGCGAGGTCCCCTGGTGATTCGCGTAGGACATGCGCCCGTTGCACCCCCCAGTAGTTTTCGAAAGTGACGACACTGTCGCATATCGCAACCAGCCAGGGATGGCGAGGTCTCTTGGTGATCCACGTCAGACGATATTCCGCTGCCCCCCCAGCAGCCTTCGAAAGTGGCGACAGGTTCGCAGATCGCAGCCCCCGAGGATTGGCGAGGTCTCTTGGTGATCCGCGTAAGACGTCACCCCCCTGCACCCCCCAGCAGCCTTCGAAAGTGGCGACACCGTCACAGGTCGCAGCCACCCAGAGTTGGCGAGGCCTCTTGGTGACCCACGTAAGGCGTTATTCCGTTGCGCCCCCCGAGCAGCCCTCGAAAGCGGCGATTGTTGCGCATATCGCAGCCCCCCAGGGATAGCGCGGTCTCCTGGTTATCCGCGCAGGACGCCACTCCGCTGCACCCCTCAGCAGGCTTCGGAAGTGGCGACACTTTCGCAGATCGCACCCCCCCAGGGATGGCGAGGTCTCCTGGTGATCCACGTAAGACGTCATCCCGCTGCACCCCCCAGCTGCCTTCGAAAATGGCGACAGGTTCGAAGATGGCAGCCCCCCTGGGATGACCAGGTAGGAGGCAAGCTGGCTGGCAGGAAAAAGCGAGGTAGGAGGCAGGTGGGACAGATGAGAAGAGGAGAGGAGGTGGTGGGAGGAGGGAGACGCGCGAGCAGTGCTTTATTCAAAAGGAGTATGTACCCAACGCAGGAGGGCTGGTAATACGGAGGAGGCCCGCATCTGGCGGCGATCTGCGAAAGATAAGCAGGAGGGAAGAAAGAGGAGGAAGGAGGCGGGAAGGAAGGAGGGAAGGAGGTGTGCCACCGCAGTGCTCTATTCAAAGCGATAGCCCAACGCAGGAAGGTTGGGAATCGGCACGACTGGAAGGGTTTGGGTGGAAGGGCAACGATACCATGTAATAAAGGCGCGCGCACCTAGCTGCCCCCCCTGGAGAGGCCTCTTAAGACACCCCAAGAAGCCTCCCAAATCCGCCGATCCGGCGTGCGAGTTTTTGAGAGCGTGGGCTTGAGCTCGCTCAAGCTTCGCTCTGCCGAGGGGGGGGACCTCATTTCCAACCTATTTTCGACTTATTTCCGACCTAATTCAGTGCTTCGCCCCACCCACCCCTCCAGAGCGGACCCCCCACCCCTGCAGAGGGTCCCCCCCTCCTCCTGCAGTCCAGCCCCGCCCCCCCTCCCCTGCAGAGGCGGAACCCCCCCCCTGCAGCCCCCCCCATCAGAGCGGACCTCCCCCCTCCCCTGCACCCCCCACCCTGCAGAGCTGAGCAGACCCCCCCCTGCCGAGCGAAACTCCCCCTCTGCAGCCCCCCCCCCCCCCCCCCCCCCCCCCCTGAAGAGCGGACCTCCCCCCCCCCTTGCACCCCCCCCTGCAGAGCAGACCCCCTCCGCACCCCCTCCCCTGCAGCCCTGAACCCCCCCTCTGCAGAGCGGACCCCCCCCTCTGCAGCCCAGCCCCCCCCCCCTGCAGAGCGGACCCCCCCCCGTGCAGCCCGCCCCCTGCAGAGCGGACCCCCCCCCCCTCCCCTGCACCCCCTCCCCTGCAGAGCAGACCCCCCCTCCTGCAGCCCCCTCCCATGCAGAGCGGACCCCCCCCTTCCCCTACAGCCTCTCCCCTCGCCGAGGCGGGACCCCCCCTGCAGAGCAGACCCCCCCCCTGCAACCCAGCTCGTCGTCGTCGTCGTCGTCGCTCGCGTCATCGTCGTCGTCGTCGTCGTCGCTCGCGTCGTCGTCGTCATCGCCGTCGTCGTCGTCGTCGTCGTGGTCGTTGTCGTCGTCGCTCTCGTCGTCGTCGTCGTCGACGTATTCGTTTTCGTCGTCGTTTTCGTCTTCATCGTCGTCGTTCAATTTCACAAGCACCCGGAGCGCCCCGGATCGGCGGCACTGGCCGGAGGCCACTACAATAGGCGTTTACTGTCCACGACCCAGTTTGGCCCCAAAGGTGCCCCCAGAAGCCATCGAGAAGCCTCCTCTTCGTCTCCTCCTCCTGTCCTCCTCCTCGTCCGTCCACTCCTGGACCTCCGGCCGCCTCCGCATCACCCTCGCCATTCGGCGGCGACCCCCCGCGCGCGGAGCAGGTTGACGGAGAGATTCGACTACAAGGCCCTTGATTACAAGGCGCGCTGGAATGGAGCAGGGTGGGGGTCGGGAAGGAGTGAGAATGATTGAGTTTAAATCCCAGGCATGTCCGAGTCTTGGAGAATCAGCTCGGGTCATTTTCCCTCTTTTTCAGCATTTTGGGGCCCTCATCGAGCCCCGGAACAGTCGAAAACTATACAGGATAAAACTTAGCCTGGCGAAGGACCGCACCATATGCAGTTGTGAATGCCGCAATTGTGCTGGGTGGTGGCGGACGCATGCGGGCGGTGCCACTGGGACCTTCGGTGGAGCTCCCTATGGGGCCACGAAACGCTGTACTGGGTGGGTGAGACGCGGTCAGCAAGGGCTGTGCTGCGTGGTGGCGGACGCATGCGAGCGGTGCCACTGGGACCTTCGGTGGAGCTCCCTATGGGGCCACGAAACGCTGTACTGGGTGGGTGAAACGCAGGCAGGGAGCAAGGGCTGCGCAGGGTGGTGGCGGACGCATGCGGGCGGTGCCGCTGGGACCTTTGGTGGAGCTCCCTATGGGGCTACGAAGCGCTGTTCTGGGTGGGTGAAGCGCAGGGAACAAGGGCTGTGCTGGGAGGTGGCGGACGCAAGCGGGCAGTGCCACTGGGACCTTTGGTGGAGCCCCCTATGGGGCCACGAAACGTGTGAGGGGTGTGCCAGAATGGGGGGTGGAACCGCATGCCAGCGCAGCCACTGGGGCCTTCGGTGGAGCTCCCTATGGAGCCACGAAACGTGTGAGGGGTGTGCCGAAATGGGGGGTGGAACCGCATGCGAGCGCAGCCACTGCGGCGTTCGGTGGAGCTCCCTATGGGGCCACGAGACGTGTGAAGGGCGTGCCGAAAAAGGGGGTGGAACCGCATGCGAGCGCAGCCACTGGGGCCTTCGGTGGAGCTCTCTATGGGGCCACGAAACCGTGTGAGGGGTGTGCCGAAATGGGGGGGGAACCGCATGCGAGCGCAGCCACTGGGGCGTTCGGTGGAGCTCCCCATGGAGCCACCACGAAGCGTGTGAGGGGTGTGCGAAATGGGGGTGGAACCGCATGCGAGTGCGCCACTGGCCGGTGGAGCCCCTATGGGGCCACAAACGTGTGAGGGGTGTGCCAGAATGGGGGTGGAACCGCATGCGGGCGCAGCCACTGGGGCCTTCGGTGGAGCTCCCTATGGGGCCACGAAACGTGTGAGGGGTGTGCCAGAATGGGGGGTGGAACCGCATGAAAGGCGCAGCCACTGGGGCCTTCGGTGGAGCTCCCTATGGAGCCACCACGAAGCGTGTGAGGGGTGTGCCAGAATGGGAGGTGGAACCGCATGCGGGCGCAGCCACTGGGGCCTTCGGTGGAGCTCCCTATGGGGCCACGAAGCGTGTGAGGGGTGTGCCAGAATGGGGGGTGGAACCGCATGCGGGCGCAGCCACTGGGGCCTTCGGTGGAGCTCCCTATGGGGCCACGAAACGTGTGAGGGGTGTGCCAGAATGGGGGGTGGAACCGCATGCGGGCGCAGCCACTGGGGCCTTCGGTGGAGCTCCCTATGGGGCCACGAAACGTGTGAGGGGTGTGCCAGAATGGGGGGTGGAACAGCATGCGGGCGCAGCCACTGGGGCCTTCGGTGGAGCTCCCTATGGGGCCACGAAACGTGTGAGGGGTGTGCCAGAATGGGTGTGGGAGGGGGAGGAAGGGGAGGAGGAGGAAGGAGGAGGAGGAGGAGGAAGGAACGCGGGGCGACGTCTCTTCAAAACGAGGACCCAACACCACAGGATGGTTGGGAAAAACCTGTCCGGGGCAACGGGCCGGGACTTCGGGGGAGCCCGTATTGAAAAAGTTTGGACACATCGCTTGTCTGGGTACGAGTTTTCCTGGGACCTCCTGGCGCTCCCTGGCGAGTCCGAATCTGAGCGACCGAGTGCGATTCCTCCTGTCGCAGGCGATTTCTCTTCCCCCATCCTGGAGTTTCGCCCGAGCTGGGGAAACCTTTGGTTGGATACATCCCATTGGGGTTTCCGGACGCACCCTTATCGAGGATGGACGTCCCCCTTTGGTATATCCCAGGGCTGGAGCCCAAATTTTTTGCCCGTTCCAGACCCCATGAAGTTTGGGACAGGGGTCGACATATCCCGTGTTATCTTGGGGTCCTGGGATGTCCTGGGGCGTCCCCTCGGCCCTCCCAGGGACTGCGCGGTGCATTCTGGAGCCTGGGCATGCTGGCTTTTCTCTTCGGCCTCATGGATCGGATTGGGCGTCGCGTAATTTCGGGGGGCGACGAATGGGGGGCAGGGGGGGCTGCAGGAAAGGGGTTCTTAAGGGCCCCTAGAGGTGCCCTTGAGGGCCGCAAGGAGGGCCTTCAGGGCCCGAGAAGTGCATCTTTCTCCCCCCTTGCTTGGCGCCCCCGGGAGAAGGGTGGGGGAGACGAGGGGGCGGCCCGACCGACTCGGCCCAGTGCCCCCCCGGCCCCCCTTTTCCCAAGGGGCGAGGTGCACGAGAAGGAGGAGGACGAAGAGGGGGAGGAGGAGGAGGAGGAGGAGGAGGAGGAGGAGGAGGAGGAGGAGGAGGAGGTGTGTTCGAATGAACCCTACATGGCGACATGTTGTTGCGCTCCAGCTCAAGTTGCACAGTGCGAGCTTCGATTTGTCAATGATCAAGAGGGGGCCGAACGGTCATTCATTGTCGCTGGGCGCGTGGCCGAAGTGGGGTTCCGCGTCGTCGACCTCGCCCGCGACCCCCCCCGCGACCCCCCCTTCGACCCATCCCTCGAGCCACCCGCGACCCACTTACATTGCCTTGACGAAGTCAATCGGCGCTTGCTGCGAGCGCTGTATAATTTGAAGAAGAAATCGGCGCCGGCGGCGAGCTTCTCTAGAGCCTCGCAGACTGCCGACGACCCCGCCGCCCCCTCAGCCTTATCCCCAACTGCGGGATGCTACGGGGTAAACTTATGTGTTGCCGCGCCCTTCTGAACCCACATATTTTGATATTCAGGGTATCGCAGCGATGTCAAGATTCCAGCACGAGAAGCAGCTGAGCAGACATCCCATCAAATGTGGTCAGTGGCTTCACCCAGTTCATCGACCAACACACCACAGAACGTGACCGTACAGTCATGGATGCCAGAATGTGTCCTGCTGCAGAGGAAAGGGACGGTGAGCGCAGCAACGTCAAGCATACATAATGAGCCGAGAAGGCCACCACGAATAATCGGCCAACAGAGTCAGAGCCAGAGCATGCGAGGTTGAGCAATGAATCGAACGTAATATGAGCTCTAACGACTTGTTCCAATCGATGTAACCAGTATGCGTAGTCGGGTCAAGAACGAGCAGCGCTCCCCGAATTTGCGAGTGAGACCAAAGCTGCGCGAGCGTTACCACACTTGAGACCGACCCAAGTGCATATGATGGAACGGCAGTTCACGTGCACGAGCTCGCCCAGGTCAACAACGCAACCATGAAATCGTTGGGTGTGCCCGAGCGGTGCGCCCCGGGCTTCGGGGGACGCACCTCGTTTTTCTGGGGGAGGAGGAGGGGGAGGAGGAGGAGGGGGAGGGGGAGGAGGGGGGGAAGGGGAGGAGGAAGAGGAGGAGGAGGCGGAGGAGGAGGAGGAGGACCACTGGAAACCCAAGAGTCATCAACGATGTTGGAATTAACCCTCCCTCCAAGCCCTCTCTTCATAGTCATAGCTCCCTACAACGGTTGCTTTCCATTGAGGGAACTGCCTCTTTGGAAGACAACAGTTTAAGGATCCTGAAGCGTGCCAAAGCATTGTTCTCGGGATTTCAACGCTACGTATCAACCTGACTGCTGCGCCTCCACGATCCATAATCGTGCAAGAGCGCCCCTTTTGGGATATCAACACAGCGAATCAGCATAAATGCGGAGGAGGAGGATGAGAAGGAGGAAGAGGAGACGGAGGAGGAGAAGGAGGAGGCGGAGGCGGAAGAGGAGGAGGAGGAGAAGGAGGAGGAGGGGGCGGAGTGGGAGTGGGAGGAGAAGGAGGTGGAGGAGGAGGAGGAGGAGGAGGAGGAGGAGGAGGATAGGAGGATGGGGAGGGGGAGTAGGAGGAGGAGACGACGGATGAGGAGGAGGAGGAAGAGGCGGAGGAGGGGAAGGCAGAAGAGGGGGCGGAGGAGTGGGAGGGTGATGCCGATGATGCGGATGATGATGAGCCGATGATGGGGATGTCAATGAATAGTAGGAGTGGGATGGGAATGATCATGTTGATGGCGATGATGACGGTGATGACGATGCGGATGATGCTGATGATGATGATGATGATCATGATCATGATCATGATGATCATGATGATCATGATGATCATGATGTTGCTGATGAAGATGATGATGCTGATGATGATGATGATGATGATGGTGGTGATGCTGGTGCTGGTGGCGGTGGTCATGGTGATGTCGGTGATGATAATTGGTGGTGGTGGCGATGGCGATGGCGATGATGAGGAGGAGGAGGTGGAGTTGGAGGAGGAGGAGGAGGAGGTTGAGGAGGAGGATGAGGAGGAGCGAAGGAGGAGGAGGAAGACGCGGAGGCGGAGCCAGACGAGGAGGATGCGGAGGAGGAGGATGAGAAGGAATAAGGAGGAAGAGTATGAGGCAGAGGAGGTGGATGATGAGGAGGGACGGGAGCGCGAGGAAGAGGAGGAGGAATGCGAGGAGAAAGATAATGGGTTGGAGGGGGAGGAGAAGGAGGAAGAAGGGGGATCAGGACGAGAAGGACGTGGAGGAGGAGGAAGAGGAGAAGGAAACGGAGGAGTGGGAGGAGGAGGACGAGAAGGAGGAGGAGGAAGCAGAGGAGGAGGAGGAGGAGGAGGAGGAGGAGGAGGAGGGGTAGTAGTCGTAGTCGTAGTCGTAGTCGTAGCCGTCGTAGCGGGAATACTAGTAGCAGTAGTAGTAGCAGTAGTAGTAGTAGTAGTAGTAGTAGTAGTAGTAGTAGTAGTAGTAGTAGTAGTGGTAGTGGTAGTGGTAGTAGTAGTAGTAGTAGTAGTAGTAGTAGTAGTAGTAGTAGTAGTAGTAGTC